TGCCATGCATGCATTATTCACATGATAGAATCTGGTGCATGCCATTAGCATTGATAGGTCGATCATGTTGTATGTGTTGCATTGTGTTTGGATTGGACGTCAAACCAAACACGAGAAGCGAGGGACGTTTCATACTTGAAGTGATGAAACGCGCCTCATTTCTCGGTCGCCGACCCTCTTGATCATGCATGATAGAGGCGGAGGCTCTTATGTGTTATTTGTGCATTCATTGACATTGAATTGTGCAAGCTTGGCTTCTCAGCCATCGTGCATTGCAATGCTCGATTGGTGGCCCGAGAGTCGAGTACCGAACTTCCTTGAGCTTGAGAAATGATAGGAAGGGTGGTTGTGCACACATATCTTGCAAATACACTGCTATGCCCCTTTTTGTTCTCTGTTGCAGCAAAACTAGAGTCTGGCAGATTTTCTGGTCGGCAGACCAGAAAAAGTGGTCACCAAAAAAAGTGACTGACCGACCACTTTTTTTGGTCTACAACAAGTTTTTCTGGTCTACAGGTGGTCTATAGCCACCTTTTCTGGTCGGCAGCCCACCAAAAGGTCCCTGTGTTGGAGTAGAAGCATTCTGGAAGTCTATGCAGTGTTCTGAGATCAAACCAAATACAAACAGAGGCAATTGGGGGCATGGTAATGGATTTTCGAGCGAAGCCGACGGAGCATGCATCATTCATTATTTCGAGGCAGAACTATGGCAGCCTAATTTAGCTTCTTGTTCTTTCTTAGTTGGTTTTGTAACTTAGTTAATTTGTTAATTAATTAAAGTATTGTAATAATTAGTTGTAGCTACTTATTTAATTTGTGTTGTGTAATAATTAGTCTAATTAGATTATTACATTAGTTAAGTAGCTTTGCTTAGAATAGCTAGCTTGTATTATTCATTCGGATCCCCTGTCAAGAGAGCAAATGTTGTAATAAGTGTGCGTGTGTGTGTGAATGTCTTCCAACCCCACATCTTTCACCCTTTTACTTATCAGCTTTCGATGGTTAGATTAGGGCATATTTCGATTAGCATACCTTATACTTTGCATGCATGCATCCATTCATCTGTCTTCCATGTACCAGGCTGGACGCATCATACAAACTGCATTGTATTTCAATACCAATTTGAATACATGTTATCTAGTTGCATTCACATGACATCTTAGAATAGCCGGGCCTATCTTAGTTGCATTTTGCATGTGTTGCATTAGGCATCTTAACATAGCTAGGATCATGCATAATTTCTAACTAGCTTATATTTTGGCTTGGAGTACACTGTGAGTGTTTATGCTTTAGCATCCTTACAGGTGTGTAAAGTGACTGCCATGATAGCATGCTTTTCATGAGGTTATGTGCTTATGTGTTTAAATGCATGAATGCCTGTGGATAAAGGTTTGATCGCCTGAATTAGAACAACTCGATGATTGTGAGTTTTAAGCCCACTTGAAGTGGCAAAATCATATTTTTCTAAGCCCACTTGAGGGTGGCAAATCCGCGCTTTAGCCTACTTGCGAGTAGCACTTTCAAACCACTTTCAAAAACAAACATGAGTTGTTTTGTTCCAATCCACGTGATTGAGTTTATACTTGTGTACTGCGCGCATCACGTAGTAAGTTAGATTAATAACCGGAATAAAAACACATGTGTTTTCAAAAACAACATATCATGTTAGTAAAGGCCAATCCTTTGATCGGGCGAGCAGGGGTGCTCATTTTAGGACCTTCCCCTCTTGTACCCAAGTTCCCGAGCTGAGGCAACTTTGGTGATGATGAACACGTGGCCTTACGCACGAGTCAAGGTTTCCTAAATTTCCCAGAAACAAAATATTTAGGTGGTAACTCTAAAATCTGGCAAAGCAGTTCATGTTTGGAACTTCTTGATCAAAATCGATTTTCCAAAATGATTTGCTAGATTTGGACTCTTTGGTGATTTATCAGTCTTACATTGCACTTTGTGAGACTAGATTCAGAACCGTGACAGGAGTCCGAACTGTAGTAGCTAGAACTACAGTTCGTGCCCTCGCGCGCTGAGCGGAGTTCGAGTAGTCTATAGCATGGCCAGCTTGCTCAAGCCTAAATAGACTTGTAGGAACAAATGGGACCTCGATTAGACTTCCAGTTAAAAAATTAGAAGAAAAATTGTAAAACACAAGACTTAAAAGGCCCGTTCGTGGGTCGAAATTGTGAAATGACCATTGAAACAGCCGAAACTTGGCACGGGCAGGTTGCTCAAGCCTAAATACACTTGTAGGAACAAACAAGACGTCAATTGGATTTCCGATTAGAAAATTAGAAGGAAAATTGTAAAACACAAAACTTAAAAGGCCCGTTCAGGGGCCGAAATTGCGAATTGACCCCCGAAACCGCCGAAACTTGGCATGGGCAGCTTGCTCAAGCCTAAATCGACTTGTAGGAATAAATGGGACCTTGATTGGATTTCCGGTTAGAAAATTAGAAGGAAAATTATAAAACACAAGACTTAAAAAGCCCGTTTGGGGGGCGAAATTGCGAAATGACCATCGAAACCGCCGAAACATAGCATGGGCAGCTTGCTCCAAACTAAATAAACTTGTATGAGCAAATGGCACACTAATTGGGCTTCCCGTTACAAAATTAAAATCAAAATTGTGAAATTCATACCGAGTTTGTTTTTTTTTTTTTTTTCAATCTAATATTGTTTTTTCTTTTTCATGTGATAGATTGGCAATTGTGGAAAATAGTTCGGGCTGCATCAGAAGATTTGACTTTGTGTTTTTGCAAATATTTTGACATAGGATTTTGGTAAATGACTTGTGGGTTGGATGTTTAGCATCAAAATATTTGGTTTTGTGCTTTTGACATAGGATTTGGTAATGGATTTGTGGGTTTGACGTTAATAGTTTATAAGTACTTTGGTATGAATGTTTTAGATTGTTAGAGAATTGTAATTATATTTATTGGGATGTTTAATAGCTATTAATTTTGAATTATTATGAATGTCTTGCACATGTGTATTATTATTTACATTACATTTGTGTATATATTGTGTAGAGAAAAATAGGTTCTTTGGATTATTTTGAATAGGGAAATTATTAAAATCAAAATTTGTGCAGTGAATTTTTAGTTACAGGTGATATTTTGGTCGCTGTTAATATATTTGGCGACAACATATTGTTTTTGTCGCTAAAAGTTAGTGGCTATTCTAAGAACTTTTAGCAACCAAAACTTAGTCGTCACTAAAAACTTGATTTTTAGCAACCAAATTAATTTTGTTGCTAAATAGTACTTTTGGCGACACATTTATTTGTCGCTAAAACTACATAGCCTATCCAAATTTTAACCTTTTAGCGACAAATTAGAATTTTACAGTGACAAAATATATGATTTTTGGCGACCATTTTTGCTTGTCGCTAAATATCTACATACGGTGACGACTTATGATTTGGTCGCCAATACTTTTAGTGACAGGCCTTTGGCGACCAATTGTGTACTTGTCGCCAATTCTTTTGGCGACGAAATTTGTATTTTTGGTGACCAATTTTTTGGTCACCAAATGTGCTTTTTGTTGTAGTGTTTTTAGCCCAATCAAAACAGGTGACTATGAAAGCGCAAGTAGCCGAAGTTGAAACCAAAAGTTTGTGCATGATGGCTCGAAGTGCCTGCGCAAAGGGATGTCACAGGCTTAGAATTATAAAAATTTTGAAGTATTAGCCCTAGTGCAGAATCATTTAGCTAATCCTGCAAAGTTAGATGCGACTGAGGCCGAAGCCAAATTGACAATTGTCAGAACACAAGCAGATAGGTCCTCGAAGGACCTGGAGATCGCTCGTCATAGGACAATTGAGTTGGAGGCGGAGCAGAAGAAGAGGGCGGAGGCTGAGCAGGCTTGCCAGACTACTAGGGATTGATTAGAAGAGGCTCTGAGCAATAACGAGGAATTACACGATGTGTCACTGAAGGAGAAAGAGGAGCTAAAGATGCTAATTACAGAGTTGGAGAGGGCGTCGGGTATGGAGAAGAGAGCCTTGGAAGAGAAGAATAGTAGGTCAGTAGATTTGGAGGAACAATGGCGGCAGAGAGTGTGGCTTATCCTGACCTATATGGCGCAGCTATGGAGCAGTATAAGCAATCAAAGGAATTCCAAATAGCCATAGATACTGCTGTAGCAGCTTAGCCAGTGGGAAAGGAAGTGAAGCTAGGCTCTCAAACGTAGCGACAACTGTAACGACACCACCATGTATAATGATTAGCACTTAATTAATTAAGGAGATTTGAAATTTAATTGCCAATTATTCCAAATTAATCTGGGATTTATGAAAATTATGGAGATTGATTCATAGATGATTATATTGAGGATTTATTTTGAAATTTGTAATTGAAAGCCTAATTGGCACAAAAGAGTATAATTGGTGAATTGAATTATTTAAATTTCGAGTATCAGACCATATGAGAGTTTAATTAAATATTCGATTCAGATTTGTGAAATTGAGACTTGATTAATTGGGTCTGAATTGGAGTAAATTAAGTTATGAGAATTGAGAATTCAGATTATTATGAATTAAATTTATTTATGAAGTGTTCAATTGAATATGTAATTTATTGACCAAGACTTTGAGGTTTAATCTGAAATTGGAAGCCTTAATGATTTAAGAAACCAAAATTGAGAATGGAAATAAGTTTAATTTAATTTAATGTTTGGAGCCTTTTGAGAGTTTGATTAAAAATCTTATTCAGATTGATAAATTTAAATATAATTAATTGAGCTCTAATGGAAATCAATTAGACTAATTAAATTATGTGGGATTGGTGATTGGTTATGATTAATTTAATTATGTGATAATCAAGATTTAATTAGATTAAGTGTTGCTTAATTAAATTAATCCTAATCAAAAATTGAATTATGGAATGGTCTAGAATTGAGGGTGTATTTGGAGGTGGGTGTGCAAAGAAACCTGTGTGTGCAGAGAAATTATGTATGTATGTGTGTGTGTGCATGTAAGTGTTGAGATGGAGCTCAAAGAAATGTGCAAGTGTGTGCACACATGATATATGATGAAGAAGTGAGGTGTGTATGAGTGTGTTTATTCTAATGGGTTTAAGAGTGTAGCTTCATTGCTCATTTCATTTGTGCTGAAGAGTTGCTATGAGAGTCCTAGTCCTAGTCCTAGTCCTAAAGAGAGAATTTTGCTAAGTCAAGAAGTGGGTTTGCTTTCTTTAATTGCTGGAGCTCTTTATTATGTATTGCTGAGAAAGGAATAGAGAGAGACCCGAGAGGGAGAGGAAGAGATTCAAATCTTGGAACTCTATGTGCCGGAATGGTGAAGGAAAGCAAGGGGAAAACTTGGAAAAAGTGAAGAAAAGAAGGAGCTCATGGAATTTCAACAGTTAAAGCTTTTGGTAAGAATGTTTAAGCTCAAATTCTTGTAGATTAATCATCTAGCAACTAAAATTAAGTAGGAATTGGGTTTAATTTCATAAAATTAGAAGGAAATTAAGGAAAATTGGGTTAAGTTTGATAATTAATAAATTGATAATCAAAGTTTTTATTTGGGTCAGAGTTTCTTGTCATCCTTCATAAATTTGAAGTCTTACCTTACATGCATGGTGGATTTTTAAGATTTTAAAACTTTAATTCATATTTTAAAGATGATGAGTTTTGGATTGAGATTTGATATATCTTAAGAAGTCAAATTATGGTTTGATATTGATAATGTAAAATTGGTTAGATTTTGATAAATGTTTCATACATGCAAATGATTTTTCCAAGGAGTTTACAACTTTAATTTCATATTTTGAAAAGAAAATGGAAAAGAGTTTGAAGTCAATTTTGTGTGATTAAAAAGAAATTGACAAGAAAACAAGGAATTGGAAACTAATTATTTTGGGTTTAATTTTGAATATCATGTATGAATTTGAGTCTTATTTTTATATGCATGTAATTTGGAGAAATTAAAGAATTAATTCATGAACATGGTTAAGATTAATAAATATAAAAATAAATTATAATTTATATTTGAGAATCAAAAATTAGTTTGATTTTGATTTAAATTTTTTACGTGTAAATATTTTGAAAGGGCTTTGTAGCTTTAATTTATGTTTTATAAAACAAAGAAGAAGAATGTTGGAATTATTATATTCATGAAATTATTGGTTTTAATCTTAATGATCAAAGAGATTTTTATATTAGAAATTGGAAAATTAGTCATGGGTTCATCTTTATTAATAAAATTACATGTTTAAATTGGTTCATGTAAGAGTTTAAGTTTTGAAAATGTGTTTGGAAATTATTTTGTTGATTTTGAAAGCACAGGAAATTTGTTGGTCGCTCGAGCGAACATTAAGGCCAACCAGTATTTTTACAGAGCTTTGTAGACCGCTCGAGTTACCAATGGTCCGCTTGAGCGAAGACCCTATTTTCAGCATATTTTGAAAAATTGCATTTAGTTCATATTTTTATTCTCATCTCTTTCCAAAGCATTCTAGACATGATTTATGACTCGATGAAGATTAATAAGTTAACAATCAACACAAATTAATTGGTTCAAGAATGAATCATTGATATAATAGTAGTTGAGTAAGAAGCCGAGTGAGAAGTCGGTCTATTTGGCAAAAGAAGAATTTAGTACGGAAAGAATTGTGGAATGAGAATCCGATTCATTGGAATAAAGAAAGAATAAGCATAATAGCACTTCGGACTACTTAGACAGTAAATGACAAGAAAAGTCAAGTTTGATCAAGGAATTGATATTGTGTTCCAATGTGTATATATTATGTGTTTGTGTAGGTCACGCGCTATTGTTTGCCTGATCTGCTTCTACAGCTATCTGTGAGTATTAACTCTGTAAAGTTATATTTAACTTTAATTATTTTTTGATGATATAAAATGATCATTTTTCTGAAATGCTATATTTTATATGAATGAATGATTGTCCAAGTTTCTAAAATATATTCGTGGCATTCTTAGCATCATATGATATGCGTCCCTTTATGGGTCATCAGAATGCCTTGATGGTCGTCCCTTTGTGGGTCATCTGATACGTCTCTGTGCACATGAGTCATCGGAATGCCTTATGGTTGTCCCTTTATGGGTCATCGAAGTGCCTTTATGGCCGTCCCTTCATGGGTCATCGGAATGCCTTTACGGCCGTCCCATCATGGGTCATCAGATTTGTTAACGCTAATGGATGTGCCACGTACTTTAATATGAAATGTATGAACTTTGAATACGAATATGACTACGTATATGAATCTGTTTCTATTTTGACATCTGATCATGTACAAGACTCTATTTCTGTATGAATATCATTCAGTAAAATCTTTACTTTGTTATTATTCACTGGGCTCTAACTCACTGTATTATTTATATATGTAGGTGATCAGGTACGTGACCAAGCCTAGAGCTTCTGCCTTGATTCTATTTTGTCAGCCAACCTATGTGCCTCCCGTGGAGGTTCCGGATATGTCTAGTGGCTATGTCTAAGTGCATAAAGATCAAGTTTTGTTTTTTTGTTTGGTTAAACAAGTCTTTGCTTATTTTGTAAATAGGGTTGAGTCCCTTTTTGTCTATTCTATATATATATGATGACGTAAGGGTGATATGTAAATATGTATATAAAAAGTTTAAAATTTTTTCGTTTCATCTAAGTCTGCACAACTCAATGAATGTTGCATATTTGTTATTTGCTTCCGCTAGCCCCTAATATTAAGCTAATCTGTCTCAGAGGCCTTCGGTAATCCTAGGATTACTAGTTGGTTACGATGCTAACCTATAGGGGCGGGTTTGGGTCGTGACAGAGTGGTATCAGAGCACGAGTTAATATCTCACACATGTGTCCCTTGAGCATTAGAATGTCTACAACGGATTTAAGTTTCATGCATCTAGTAAGTAAGTAAGAAGTTGTGCATTTGGAAAAATGTATATATGTATATATGATATGTTTATGTATTAAAACTAAGAAATTCGGAACTATTGTGGAATTGTGATAAATATAAGGAAACCTTAATGTGTGTATTAAGTTTTGTCATGAAGCTAAAAGTTAATAACTATTGTGGAAATTTTAATGTTACAAGGGAATCTGAAATTTTGACTAAAGCATTGGTGAGTACAAGTATGTTGATTTGTGAAAACATGGTGTTATGTGGAATTAAAGTCTTTAATGAAAGCCATGGAAGCTATATAGGTTATATGTCAAATTGGACTATGAGAATGTTTGGGAAATTAAGGAATTTGATGCTCAAAGAAATATGTGAAGCAATGGTAACTGAGGAAGAGAAAGTTATTTGATAAGTAAAATGGCATATTTTGGCGGGAACCTATTGTGTGAAATGTTAAACCGTAGAGTCTCATGCCTTTGTTGAATGACCTTGAAAGCCCAATTGGAATCACGTTTGGCCAGCGCAGCTTTGAATCGGAAATTCTTGGTAAATTCCATGGGAATGAATAGGTTACCCTACCAGTGTCCTTATATGCCTACACGTGTATGTCTATTTGTGTATGATATGTGTTTTGTGTTATATTCTAAGTTAGTTGATATTAACCCAAGTGTTATCGACCATCATTTTGTGTTTGACCCTCATCTTCTATCATTAGGAAAAGATGGTGAAAAGTAAGAATGATATGGAAGTTGAGACTTTGGCAAAACGATTGGACAAAGTAGAAGAAGTACTTGAGGGAGTAATGAAAGCTATGCAACAATGCTATGATAAACCACAAGACCAAAAGAAAAAGTTAAGTGTGAAGTCAAAGAAGGAACCAAAGGAAAAGTCTAAGAAGTTTGTGATAGGAGAGTCAAGTAATTCTAAGCAAGGTAGTAAGTTTCGTTCATTATGTTCAACATGTCACAAGTGACATAGGGGGGCTATGTCATTGAATTACCGGAGCATGTTTCAAGTGTGGGAAGATAGGACATCTAGTAAAAGACTGTTCTAAAGCCCAGGAGAAAACTCAATGATTTAGTTGGTTAAAGGTTAGTACTTGATTATAAATTAGGAAATTAGTAGGAATGTTTTAAATACATGTATAGAAATTTGAAGTTAAAATTTTATGTGTGTGACTTTATTTGAATTGGTCCTAATCAACATTTGATAAAATTAGAACCATCCATTTGGAACTCAACGTGAGAATGCTGAAGATTATTAGACGATCGCAGAGACTTAAGCTAATGAAAATTTTCCTACTTAGTACCCGAATAAGTATGACTCAATTTACTGAAATCATATCGTATTTGAACCTTCTAATAACATTGAAAAGGATTGGTATTTATGTTACTTCAACATAGTAATATTCCTACATGAATGATTGATAAAGCTAGAAACCATTACTTGGATATTTGAGACTTGACTTGGAATTGTCAGACTTAGAAAAATGAGATCAAGATTTAAAATGATTTGGAAAACAGGTCAAATAAGATCACATTGATAACATTAGAAGAGAAACACTTGTGGTTTACTTAAGTTATAAAGTCAAAAATATAGACTTTTTACAAACCAAAAAAAAAGAAAGGAGGAGAAGAAGAAGAAGAAGATCTAGTAATTTCGTATCTGAATAATGGTTAAAAGGAATGATGGTATGATCTTATAGACACATAATTGAATTTTGATTTTGAATCCTAACTTAGATAGCCTAACTTATTGTAAAGAAATTGAACTCTAGTGTTAAACGGAAGAAGATATCGTAATGAGAAATAAGAAAATGAATTTCATTAGAATGACAATTGTATATTTCTTAACGGACCTTTGGAAACATAAGAATTTCAGTCGGCCAATTGTAATGATTTGAGAAACTTAAAAGTTTCGCCCTAAGTTACCGTGTGACAATTTATCAAAGTCAACGAATATATCTCCGCAGGTCTAAGAATTGAAATTAATAAGAAGGAAATGTAATTTGAATTACTTATATAATTGTGACCTTAAGTAAATAAGGAAGCTAATAAGACCGCGAAAAACGTAGACCTGTTGTGAAATCAAATCACTACTTTGAAATGATAGTATGAGAAAGATTGTCAAAAACGGTAATTTTAATTTCACAAAAGTATGTAAAGTTTTGCTCTGATCAGTACGTTACAAAAAGGCTCAATGAATTTCTGTGAAATATGCTTCTGTTATGACTCTGATACGCTTCTGTATTGAATCTGATGTGCCCCACTATTTCGAAATTACCATCATAATTGGTATCCAAGATGTTTGTTTGAAACTAAGACCATTAATATGTGATTATATTCCCATATAATTTGGAAACTTCTGTTATAGATTAGCATGTGAGACCTTATTTGGGGATACTACATTATATGCATAAAAAAAAAAAAAAAAGGAAATATTTAAATTGAGAATGGAAAGAGTATAATTGGTGAATTGAATTATTTAAATTTCGAGTATCAGACCATATGAGAGTTTAATTAAATATTCGATTCAGATTTGTGAAATTGAGACTTGATTAATTGGGTCCGAATTGTAGTAAATTAAGTTATGAGAATTGAGAATTCAGATTATTATGAATTAAATTTGTTTATGAAGTTTTCAATTGAATATGTAATTTATTGACAAAGACTTTGAGGTTTAATCCGAAATTGAAAGCCTTAATGATTTAAGAAACTAAAATTGAGAATGGAAATAAATTTAATTTAATTTAATGTTTGGAGCCTTTTGGGAGTTTGATTAAAAATCTTATTCAGATTGATAAATTTAAATATAATTAATTGAGCTCTAATCAAAGTCAATTAGACTAATTAAATTATGTGGGATTGGTGATTGGCTATGATTAATTTAATTATGTGATAATCAAGATTTAATTAGATTAAGTGTTGCTTAATTAAATCAATCCTAATCATAAATTGAATTATGGAATGGTCTAGAATTGAGGGTGTATTTGGAGGTGGGTGTGCAAAGAAACCTGTGTGTGAAGAGAAATTCTGTGTGTATGTGTGCATGTAAGTGTTGAGGTGGAGCTCAAAGAAATGTGCAAGTGTGTGCACACATGGTATATGATGAAGAAGTGAGGTGTGTATGAGTGTGTTTATTCTAATGGGTTTAAGAGTGTAGCTTCATTGCTCATTTCATTTGTGCTGAAGAGTTGCTATGAGAGTCCTAGTCCTAGTCCTAAAGAGAGAATTTTGCTAAGTCAAGAAGTGGGTTTGCTTTCTTTAATTGCTGGAGCTCTTTATTATGTATTGCTGAGAAAGGAATAGAGAGAGACCCGAGAGGGAGAGGAAGAGATTCAAATCTTGGAACTCTATGTGCCGGAATGGTGAAGGAAAGCAAGGGGAAAACTTGGAAAAAGTGAAGAAAAGAAGGAGCTCAAGGAATTTCAACAGTTAAAGCTTTTGGTAAGAATGTTTAAGCTCAAATTCTTGTAGATTAATCATCTAGCAACTAAAATTAAGTAGTAATTGGGTTTAATTTCATAAAATTAGAAGGAAATTAAGAAAAATTGGGTTAAGTTTGATAATTAATAAATTGATAATGAAAGTTATTATTTCGATCAGAGTTTCTTGTCATCCTTCATAAATTTGAAGTCTAACCTTATATGCATTGTGGATTTTTAAGATTTTAGAACTTTAATTCATATTTTAAAGATGATGAGTTTTGGATTGAGATTTGATATATCTTAAGAAGTCAAATTATGGTTTGATCTTGATAATGTAAAATTGGTTAGATTTTGATAAATGTTTCATACATGCAAATGATTTTTCCAAGGAGTTTACAACTTTAATTTCGTATTTTGAAAAGAAAATAGAAAAGAGTTTGAAGTCAATTTTGTGTGATTAAAAAGAAATTGACAAGAAAATAAGAAATTGGAAAATAATTATTTTGGGTTTGATTTTGAATCACTTGTATGAATTTGAGTCTTATTTTTATGTGCATGTAATTTGGAGAAATTAAAGAATTAATTCATGAACATGGTTAAGATTAATAAATATAAAAATAAATTATAATTTATATTTGAGAATCAAAAATTAGTTTGATTTTGATTTAAATTTCTTACATGTAAACATTTTGAAAGGGCTTTATAGCTTTAATTTATGTTTTATAAAACAAAGAAGAAGAATGTTTGAATTAATATATTCATGAAATTATTGGTTTTAATCTTAATGATCAAAGAGATTTTTGTATTAGAAATTGAAAAATTCGTCATGGGTTCATCTTTATTAATAAAATTACATGTTTAAATTGGTTCATACAAGAGTTTAAGTTTTGAAAATATGTTTGGAAATTATTTTGTTGATTTTGAAAGCACAGGAAATTTGCTGGCCGCTCGAGCGGTAAAGTCACTGCTCGAGTGAACATTGAGGTCAACCAGTATTTTTATAGAGCTTTGCAGACCGCTCGAGCGACCAAAGCTCCTCTCAAGCGAAGACCCTATTTTCACCATATTTTGGAAAATTGCATTTAGTTCACATTTTTACTCTCATCTCTTTCCAAAGCATTCTAGACATGATTTATGACTCGATGAAGATTAATAAATTAACAATCAACACAAATTTGTTGGTTCAAGAATGAATCATTGATTTAATAGTAGTTGAGTAAGAAGCCGAGTGAGAAGTTGGTCTATTTGGCAAAAGAAGAATTTAGTAAGGAAAGAATTGTGAAATAAGAATATGATTCATTGGAATAAAGAAAGAATAAGCATAATAGCACTTCGGACTACTTAGACAGAAAATAACAAGAAAAGTCAAGTTTGATCAAGGAATTGATATTGTGTTCCAATGTGTATATATTATGTGTTTATGTAGGTCACGCACTATTGTCTACCTGATCTGTCTGATCTGCCTCTGCAGCTATCTGTGAGTAATAACTCTGTAAAGTTATATTTGACTTTAATTATTTTCTGATGATATGAAATGATCAGTTTTCTGAAATGCTATGTTTTATATGAACGAATGATTGTCTAAGTTTTTGAAATATATCCGTGGCATTCTTAGCATCATATGATATGCGTCCCTTTATAGGTCATCAGAATGCGTTTATGGCTATCCCTTATGGGTCATCTAATACGTCTCTGTGCACATGAGTCATCAGAATGCCTTGTGGCTGTCCCTTTATAGGTCATCGGAATGCCTTTACAGCCGTCCCTTCATGAGTCATCGAAATGCCTTTACGACCGTCCCTTCATGGGTCATCGGAATGCCTTTACGGCCGTCCCTTCATGAGTCATCGGAATGCCTTTACGACCGTCCCTTCATGGGTCATCGGAATGCCTTTACGGCCGTCCCTTCATGGGTCATCGGCTTTGTTAACGCTAATGGATGTGCCATATACTATAATGTGAAATGTATGAACTTTGAATACAAATAGGACTGCGTATATGAGTCTGTTTCTGCTTTGACATCTGATCATGTACAAGACTCTATTTCTGTATGGACATCATTCAGTAAAATCTTTACTTTGTTATTATTCACTAGGCTCTAACTCACTGTATTATTTATGTATGTAGGTAATCAGGCACGTGACCAAGCCTAGAGTTTCTGCCTGGATTCTATTTTTTCAGCCAACCTATGTGCCTCTCGTGGAGGTTCCGGATATGTCTAGTAGTTATGGCTAAGTGCATAAAGATCAAGTTTTGTTTTCTTGTTTAGTTAAACAAGTCTTTGCTTATTTTGTAAATAGGGTTAAGTCCCTTTTTGTCTAATCTGTATATATATGATAATGTAAGAGTGATGTGTAAATATGTATATAAAAAGTTTAAAACAATTTCGTCTCATATAAGTCTACAGCTCAATGTATATTGTATATTTATTATTTGCTTCCGTTAGCCCCTAATATTAAGCTAATCTGTCTCAGAGGCCTTCGGTAATCCTAGAATTACTGGCCGGTTATGATACTAAACCTATAGGGGCAGGTTTGGGTGGTGACAGCAGCCGAACTGGTGGAAGGGGCAGACTAAGGCAGAGATAATACAAAACTTCTAACAGTCTGACTACTTCAAGCATCAGCTGAGCATCTATTGGGATAGTGGGTGGGTGAGTTTCCAACAGAGAGTAGAAGAGGTCTTCCCAAACATTGACTTCACCCTCATAAAGCCCAAAGAGTGAGACATTGCCCAGACCCTGCTGGACGAGGGTATTGAAGAAGAAGATCTGGTGTGTAATAGGGAGGAAGGAGATGAAGGCGGAGGAAGTTCAACTACTGGGAGCGTAGTACGTGTCTAACTTATTTGTTTTGTTTTAATTTGTCTTTGTAAAGAATTTTACAGTTTGTAAGAAACTTGTGTTATAGTACAAAAACTGTTCTTGTAAATGATAGAGTAATAAACTGTTGTTCATTTTTCCTTTTTCACTGTTGTGTAATGAATAAAATGGAGTTTGAAAACTTCAAAATGTAAAATGCTAAGTAAAACTAAAAAGGGGATGCTTTTTGGCGATTTGGAAGAAGGGTTGTTGTCACCAACCACGTGATTGCATAAAAACTAGACTTGTCCAAAAACAAATTTTAATCAGTCAAATTTTAATGAATGAAACAATGTTGTAACTAGTGAAGATTGTGTTTGTGAAGAAAGGTTGAGACTTGTAAACAAGGTCCTAAACCAAAGGGAGGGACCTTTCTTGTTGTTGTGCTTTTGGTGTTAAGGACGGTCAGTTGATTATAAGATAGGTTGGTTGGGCATCCTAGTCAGTCTGGCTGGGCTCTACATGCTCAGTCTAGCTAAACTTTTCATGCTCAGTCTGGCTAAGGTTTGGAGGGCTCAGTCTAGCTGGGCTCTTCATGCTCAGTCTAACTAAGGCTTGGAGGGCTCCGTCTGGCTGGGCTCTTCATGCTTAGTCTGGCTGAGCTCTTCATGCTCATTCTGCCTAGACTCTTCATACTCAATATGGCTGAGTTCTTTACGCTCAGTCTAGTTGAGGCTTGGAGGGCTCAATCTGGCTGAGGACTTGCGAAATACAAACATAGGCAATATAAGTGGAATGTATTTCTCATTAAATACAAAATCCTACCAAGGTCAGCTTTAGACATTTACTTGCATTTGGAAAAGACAAAATACCATAAGTGACTGGAATTGAATAAGATTAGGAAACAAGTGAGGAATTATTTTATTGATAGTATTGCTTCAAGTGTTCGGCGTTCCATGGATGGGGAAGATCTCTACCCTCCATTTCTTGCAAACAGTAAGTGTCTGGGCGTGGTTTAGACTTGACGATATAAGGTCTCCCCCACTTAACTGCTAGCTTGCCTTTTACTAGGTTTTTAGTGGCCAAAGTTGCTTCCCTTTGGACCAGGTCTCCCACGGCAAAGACTCTAGGTCGGACTTTGCGGTTATAATGTCGTCGCATAAGTTGCTAGTAGAAAGCTAGTTTGACAATGCCTGTCTCTCGGAGCTCCTCAATAAGGTCGAGGTCGGCCTTCCATAGCTCTTTATTGAGTTCTAGGTTCAGATGCATGACTTGAGGGGTCAACAAGCCGATCTCCACAGGGATGACCGCATCGACACCATATGTTAAGTAGAATAGGGTCTTCCCTATGGGGGTTTGCACCATCGTCTGATAGAGAATAGAGAATATTATGAGAGAGAGAGAAAGAGAGAGAGAAGAGAGAATTACTTTTGTCTTTTTCATTCTTCACAAGCTTCCTTATATCTTTTACTAATCATTTTCTTGTCCATTCAAGCTGTCTTATTAGCCAAAAGTTTATGGTTTACTCGCCATCGATCATGGCAGCTTCACCATACCAGGGAATGAAAGGTTTTGTTGCATTTAATGTTATGACAACCTCATTTAATGCTTGATGCTTGGGCTCAATAACTCTGCAAGATCTTTGTCTGCCACATGGCTACCTCCCTATCTAACAGGTGTCCAAATGCCACAAGGCCTGGACCAGCGTGGATTCTTTGGTGGGCCTGCTGTTGAGTTTCACCTACTAGGCTATAACCAAATGACCGTTTGGGCCACCCAAGACAGTTACAAGTTAGGCTTTCCTGGACCATATGGGCCATGCCCATCATCAATCTCAGCCATATACTTGTGTTCTAGACCGTTTCATGGGAAAAAAATTTGGATCCATAGTTTAGTACAATATTATTATGTTTATTCTTTAATTTAATTATTTATATTTCTTATTTCACGCGACAAACTTTATTATTATCGATAAATAAGAGCTGTTTTGGGTAAGACTTATTTTTTATTTTTTTTATTTTTTTTTACTTTTTTTGCTTATTACGAAAAAAAATACATAAAAATAGAGAGGTGATATAATAGAAATAAGTCTATAATCTAACAAATAAGAAGCTATTCGTTGGTCCTAGGGCACAAACACGTGGTGCCCTAGGTGTGTTTTAATTGCTAGAGAGAGTGGACTACACGATTTTGTATTAAGTGATTACAAAACATAAAGGGACATAAGAATTTGTGATTGGTCTAGGGTATGGTCACATGATGTCTCAGGACCAACTAATAATTTTTTCCAATAAACAACTTATTTAGAGTGTCCTCAAATTAATTAACATAACTAAAAATTAATTAATGTGTCACATCACATAATAAATATAAATGATAAAAATAAATAATCAAGCATGACAGCATTGTTTGTTTGTCTCTTGATAGACAATTATTGAGAAAAAAATTTAGGAACAAATTATCTACACCTCTTATCAGGTTTAACTAAATTACAAATTTTTACTTGAAGTTTCAAAAATTACATTTCATCCCTCGAAGTTTATATTCACATAATAATTTAATCTCTATCGTTAACTAAACGTTAATAATGGTTAACTGATATCACCAAAATATAAATTGATAGGCGATATTGCCCTAGCTGAAATCCCTTTGATAAATCAACAAAATTTACAAAAGAATTACGTTAAATAGAAAAAAAAAATTAAGTTTTTGGAACCATGTTTCATTTGTTATTTAGAAAAAAAAAATTCAGAATTTAAAAAAAAAAAAAAACTAATTTAATAAAAATAAATATGAAAAAATATATTTAATTTGTAAAAATTTCCGTAAAAATTATTTCTAACCACTCAAAAGATAAAATTATATAAAAAAATAATTATTTTTTTTATTTTTTATTTCTTAATCAAATTAATTTTTAATTTTTTAAAAATAAGTTTCTAAAAATCAAACCAAACATATCCTAAGAATTTTTTGACAAGCCATTTCTTGTATTTTTAACTTATTTAATTATTTGTTAATTTAATGATATTTTCACCATCTGACACTACAACATATAAGAGTTTTAGAGACTAATTTTTTTTATCTCTAAAAGTGAAAATTTTGTTGCAAATGATATTTAGAGACTAATTTCTATCGTCATAATGATAGTCGCTGTAAAGTCAAAAATAAGGCTTTAAGTGATAAAATTTTGAAATGTCAATAATAAATAGATTTTTAGGGACAAAATAATTTGGTCTCAAAATGGTTTATTTTTTTAGACAAAAAAATTGATACCAAAAAGATAATAATTAATCACTAATGTTCAATTTTCGTTGCTAAAAATATAATAATGACACTTTTTACAACAAAAATATTTGCACTCCTAAAAATAATTTTGCCCTAAATTTTGGTTTCTAAAATCTTAATTTTTTGTAGTGTGGTAAGTTTTTTTTTCATTTTAATTTTGCATTTCATAACTTACTTAAAAATGATAATTTAGCTAAACCTCATGACGAATCTATAATTTAGCTAAACCTCAAGTGGATGTAGGTAATGTGTCCTTATTTGTCAAAATGGCATTTTAGTCAATTTATGATATCCGTTAACAGCGTTAATTGCAATGAGGTGGGATGTAATTTTTGAAACCTCAAGGAAAATCTGTAATTTCGTTAAACCTCAAGGGAGGTGTAGGTAATTTGCCCAATTTCAAAAAAAAAAATTGAAAATTTTAGAAAAAAATATTAAATTATTTTTCTCTACTACACATTAATCAATCATTTTTTTCTCTCCCTTCTGTCTTCTCTTCTCTTCTCTATCCTTCTCTCACATCCTGCACATACTCATTCACTTTTTTCGTCATATTTTGATTGTTTTCCTGATTTCACACTTAGTTTACAAGATCCACATATTTTGAAAGCATTAACTTTAAATATTCAATTAAATGGTTCATTTACTAATATGTTAGAAAAAGTTCATAATATTGCTCTCATTTATCGTGTTCATTATAAATGCATGAAAACGAATTTAAATGTTCAGGCCTTACACAAAAGTCCAAAAGATAAAACGCTGTTAATTCAAAGTAGTAATAATGAATCACATATTAATGTTCCCCAAATGATTGAGTGGAAAAACATTACTCTTCCCGATCAATGGCTTACAACTAATGAAAACTATAAACATAGTCAACAACAATCTTCAATTCAAGATATCCAAGATATTCAACAATATAATGATGGTTCCGTTAGAATTAAATTCAATCGGAGTCAATCCTCTAGACATAGTACCTCTAGTGTTCCTACGGAAATTACCACTGAAGATGAAATATTTAACGCTCCTTTATTTCGAAAAAATAGTCAAATTCATCTTGGTCAAACTACTCAAAATAAATTAAAAGGAATTGATAATTCTACTACTTCCCAGATTAGTAAACCTGTTTATACTACGACTACACATTTCCCTGAAGAAGAAATAGCCTCAAATAATTCCCCAACTCAAACTGATTTCGAAGAATTAATACCACCTGTAAATCCCCAGTTAATGACAATTAAAAAGGATTTTCAACCTGATTTAGACAAATTACTTATTGAATTTAGATCTAAAGAAAACAGAACTAAACGACATGCTTACCGTGCTAAATATAATTCTGCTCAGCAATCCAGAATAACTAGAGAATGGTACGATTTTATGGTTCAATATGGTTTTGAATTATCCTTCTTTGATTATATGGATCAATATTATAAAAAGATTAACACCATTACAAAACATAAATGGAAAACTTTCCCTAATACTTCTGTTAGTTCTAATCATCCTCCATTAGAAAATATAATTATTGATCACCAAGGTTCTGAAGTTCCAGCGTCTCCTTTTAAATTACCTGGCACTGATTCTGAAATCAAAAAGGTTATTGAACAAAATAATTATACTAATCAATGTTTAAAAACAATTGGTAAACTAGAAATTAATTTAGAAGAACAACAATCTGCTAAAACTACTAAAACATTAGATCAACCTTTATTAAATCTTCCCAGTCATCGTTCTAAACGGACTAGCCTAGTTACTAATGATCAATCTACCGTTAAAGCTATTGAACAATTATTTACTAAATTAACTCCCAATGATACTTCTACATCTAAAGATAAAGGTCTTACTGTTTTAAATCAACAACCTATTACCAACACTGTTTCTGATCAC